GTTTATATTTACTCGCATTTAACTCATTTTTCTTACCATATGTAGTTTATCATGAATAGTATAACTTTATAATATGTGCTTTATCTATGTGAAGTGCTGGTAATATCCGTATATATCGCAGCCATCCGAGTGCGTCCCAGGGATTGGTATGTAGGCCATGATAGGACCGTGCGTCCAGCATCCGAGAGAGCCCGGCGCTGGGCTAGCAACCCTGCGGAGGCAATACCTGCCCGTAGGAGCTCGCAAGGGAGTCAGGGGCAGCCTCAGGCCTATCAAGTCCATGTGGCAGTGAATACGAGCATGGCGAGCGGGCAGAAGACCCCGGCCACCTAGCTCACGCCGCTGGGTCGCCCTGCCGAGCAACCGCTGATGCGGATTGGCCTCGGCGGGACGATCCCGACGGCGCGACAGTCTCCCATCACCCATAGAATTGAGTCTTTCAGCATACCAACTAAGTTTTTTTTTTAGTTTTTGGCTCTCTTGAATAGCCAGATATGCCAAGTCCTGCTAGTCCTGTTGTGACTGTGATATCTTACCATATTTTATTAAATCAATCATTCATTCCTCAACAATGTCAAGATAACTATTGCGCTGCTTGAAAACTTACTTGTCAAGGATATCACTACCGCCGTCACTTAACAAGCACCAAAAATATCATTGATTTGCCAAAGTGATGAGATTGTAGTACGAATTATAGAGTAGTATGACTTTAGCCGTGGCCAATCATATTTCACAGGGTCGGGGATAACTACATTACTCCTTTACCTTTAAATGACCAGTACTATGTAGTTTTCGTTTAGCTTCGACGCTCGTGAAGAATGGAAGAACTGCTCCTCCATAACGTATATTCGTGATCAGTCTAAATGTGGTATGGTAATGATATTTTCAAGTTCGCTTTTTCTGACTGAAAACGAAACAGTGCAGGTTATATGAATCAGTCTCTGTGGCATGAAGTGCACCACTTATGTTGCACCCGCGCAAAGCACAAAGACCACTGGATTTGTATCTTCTACCCCAGCCCACACTTAGGTTTGTCGGGTAAACATTTCAAGATTTGCGTACCTATCTTGTTAGCCCGCTGATCCAGACGAATGAATGTTTTGACTGATCTCATGAGGTGTTATCTTCAAAACGCACCGCCATGCTAGCCTTAGAATCGCTCATTCCTCTATTTCGGACCTTTTCTTCTTTCCTGCGTGCTAAATCACATTTCGTTAGTGAGCGCTTGATCGTGATAGGGGCAAAGTTCAACTCCTCAAGCAAAGTATCCTTGCTCCTTAAGTCATTTATCGTTCATATCGAGGCTGAACCCGAATTTACAAACACTGGTTTTGTTCGCGGCCAAGACATAGCCGTGTCCTCGAAGGCGAAATTCGCTTATCTCATCAGCAGAAAGAGTTCTACGGAACGCTCAATGATTGCGCAGCGAATATGTTCCATTTGTGTGACTCCAGCCGCTCAATGTAGCCATTCCGTTTCCATTACACCGGGAGTAGCAAATTTCCTGGTCACAGGTCGGCATTCTGTTGCGACCGTTGCCACAGCGGTCCTGTAAATAGTTGGTTCGGAACGCTACTGCCTATAACGGCACTCATGAACGCCATTCAGACGTGGCTGCACACGAGCGTGGGTTGACTTCACCACTCCAGTGGTTTAAGTGGTTGCCCACCCAGGGTACGCGGAAGGTCAAAGCCTCAGATTTGAATCGTGCTTCACTCTTTTTATCTCCGTGGACCTTTACTAGCCCCTTTTTGAGGTTCAACCGTAGTCGTAACACAGCCAAAATGACTGGACCCTATTTGAACGCGCTGCCAAGTGCATTTTGAACAACATAAATAAATTATTTTGAAAAAGATGTTAAACGGAATTTGCAACTTTTCAGAGGTCTTCGGTGGTGTACTGAAACTGACGAAAGGGTCTCTCGATTTTGGCATGGAGTATGACTCAATTTTGCCCCTTATTACGTATTGCTATTCCATCGAATCTATATTTCTGTGATGCCGGCGAATTGTAAAAATGCCGCCGAGTATAGGGAGAACTGGAAGAGCACGCTCCGACAATCAACTAACAACAGTTGAACCAAACTGTGCGACACGATGTACTCACCTCTCAGCGCATCCTCTATAGAACCGCTCGAAACAGTCTTTATCGGTATAGAACACTTGGCCGGTTTTGAGCCACTATTTACCTCATCTTGGGGATCCAGGAGTAGAGTGCCTTACGACGCTTCGTCAGGGCTCAAGGATTCGACTAACATTAGTAGGAATTACTTATAGCCATTTCGAGCGATAACATCAGTCCAATTCGATTGCAATCATCACAGGTTCGTGTTGGGCTGTCTCTGCCGCTGAAGCAATGTCCGATCGTATTTGCGTCCAGACAAGAGGAAATGTGCAAGTTAGTTATCCGATTCACTCTGACTTCTCTGGTAAGCACAAAAGATCCTGCACTGCAAACAGAACATAACTTTTCTAGTTATGTGCCAGTTTCGGTTTAGGTGAGTTGTGAGAACATTTTTCCTTCGCCGTTCTTACCACGTTTGTTCTACAATACATGCCACTACAAAGCGCATTTTCCGATCTTGTGAATGACTGTGTTCAAGTCACAAAGAATATAGGACTTGTATAGGACTTATCGACCCAGGATTCCAATGAGAAAGGAGATCTCTCAACATGTCTCAATTTGCCATGATATGGAATTCTCTGAAGAGGAAGACGTCGGAAGGTTTCGAAAAGCCAGAATCGACGGATTCCGCATGTATCTATAATAACTTCAAGGGTTTTTCAAGGAAATATATANATATATACCCACTGACCTTGCGGTTTCTGTGCTATTTTCATTTCAGCCTTTTAAATATGTAATCAGAACAATGTTCCTCATCAATAGCTCACTGCAACTTACGAAGTCTAGATTAAGCTGAGGGTTTGAATTTTCAGAAGCTGATTTCGGGCGCCGATATTCTCTCTTGCTGTGGTAGTGAATGTGGAAAAGGGTAGGTTCATGTGTAGCTTAACAGATGAAATGGCCATGAACTATGTATGTACATAACTCTTCGCTTCATTGATCAAAATAACACTCACAATAATTTGGTTCATGTCTTGAGCACAATGTACATATATGCCCATGGCAAAGTGCAGGGACTGCCTTTGAAAATCATTTCGTAAACTGTCTCCAACTTCTCTCTTGCTTTCACTTCGGCATAGTTGTTTATGATTGAAATTTATTTACGAAGTTGTTAAATGAGACAATTTATTAAAGCAACGACCTGTGGATTTTTAAATCCGCTTAAGCGATGGAACCTTGGCTTCAAGAAGACGATACCGCCGAAACATTAGGCAACTGATTTAATAAGTTGTTCCACCTAACAACCTCGGCACAGACAAGAATATTTTAATCATAAACACTTTGTAAATTGTCGAGGCCGAAACGTTGAACTGGTTACTCTTTGCCATTTTTATGAGCTCAAATCAACTCCCACCTCACTCCGCGCTCTCCTGAATTGGAAGAAGAAATGAAGCAATTAGCTTCTATTTCCGAGCTTCGTTCTTTTCTGTTGAAGTCGTTGCTTTGAAAATTTGTCGGCAGAAGTAGATAGAATCAAAGAAGTTTCTAGTGATATCTCCTGAGCTTGGCGATTTCAAGCATGGCTATCTTACTATATATGATTGACTGATGTTTTTCTTGGTTTGTCTGTATGTGTCTCTGTGTGTGTCACTGTGTGTGCGTGTGTGTTTGTGTGTCTGCGTATTTGAACAAAAATTTATAAATGTTATTTTCGTGAACTCAAAGATTTCAAATTTGGAAGGAGCACAAGAGGAGGATAAGAGCACTTATGGTGGGTGGCAGGACCAGACTTACAGAGAGGCATGGTTCCCGCGGGAACTATTGTTAATCGGAACTCAAAGCGTTCAACATTGACGGTATTAAGCAAGACTAGACTCCGTCCGCAGGAAGTGATTGTGAACGGAAAATGTCATTCGGGATATGGAGCGTTGAAACTTGGAAGGGACACAAAGAGCTGGTTGTGGACGATGACGGGCAGGCTTCACTCCCAAGGGGCAAAGCGTGGGCAAAATGCCAATTCGGTTCTAAACTTTAAATTTGGGAGGTTTACAAGCGGCAAGATAGGAGCACTGATGGTAAGTAGTAGAAAACGACAACACGTTATTGGAGCTGTTAAGGAGCCTTAGATGGCAAGAGCCGCAAGTTTCATTACCTCCTCCGTAATGATAGTGGAAGTTTGACACTTCAGTAGGTGTTTTGGGATGTGAGGAACCCCTAGATGATTGTTAACAAGGACTGATAACAAGCAGAAAGGACTGACAATGAGCCATAGAAGGCTAGAGCTACTAGGTCTAAACACTTCAGTGTAGCCAGTGGAACCTTGGCATCTTAATAGGTGATGTAGGATGTAAAGGGATCGTAGGTATGCTGTGACAGGAACCGATAACAGCTGATAAGGGCTGATAAGGGGCTATAGAGAGCAAGAGCAACTCACCATTTAGATCCAAGTGCCTTTGCTGTTTGCGGTCTAGCTCTGACTACTTGATATGTTTTAATCGATGAGACGGGGAAATGCAGTGAGAGCGATCAAAAACACTACGAGAGCAGATGAAAACTGTTTATTTCTTGCTACTAGATTACGACCTCTACCCGGCAAGGTTTGTAGCTCAAGGAAGAATCACGATCTTCCTTTGTTTCGATATCATTTGACAAAACTTATCCGACCGCCAATAAGCTCGGATTCTCAACTAAAGCTATATCCTATGTAGAGACAGAGGAAGCTTCATTGATAAAACCTCTGATAATGGTGTTATTATTAGTCGACAGCATTTTATCAAAAAACCTTGCCAAAAACATTCCAGTGCTTTGACTTGGAGAACTTTCTAAACTCTTAACATTTCTCCATTGAGCAGCTCAATTACAGGTGCGAGGGAGGGTATCACCATAAAGCCTGGGAATTCGCTAAAAAGTTCGGCGTTTGCACTGGAGGACGATTCCGTGAGCGGGTAGGTGGGGAAAGTATTATGTATATGACGAGTCTTGTGAGGGTACCTCCTTGCCTCCTCACATCTATGGTGCACCTACTCTGCCACCCTAATACATTTCAAAAACATGCTTTTTAGGGTGTCTGCAAACCTTATCCTCTCCATCCATGTGGCGTTTATGAAGGAAAATGGTACAACTGCCCTAATCATCCATTTAAAACACCGGTTTGTAAGAAGTATTGCCAGTTCGAATACGGAAAGAGATACGATCAGGATAAATTCTACGGTATGCTTGCAGTAACATTTTCTGAAAGGTGTCAGCGCTTTTCTTTCCAAACACAATGTTCTCAATGATTAGTTCATGATTGTGGTAGGAGCTCCAAAGAGCGGAACAAAAGTCTTGCGTTGCACTGAAGAAAATGATTTTAATATCTTCATCTAAATTGCGCCCAGAAGGGTGTTCGCTTGTTTCGATTAATTTTCCTAAAGTAGATTTCGAATTTCAGCCTCCGCGAACCTTGTTTTCTTGAATTCCAGCGAAATCGGTGTACATCTTGGACGAAGATGAGAAAGCAATCCAAAGAGAAATTGTCAAAAATGGACCAGTTCAAGCTGCCTTTATCGTTTACGGAGACTTCTCCTATTACCGAAGGGGTATCTATGTGGTGAGCAATCGTCAAAAGTATTTAATATTTATGCTTGCAATAACATCAGCAGTCCGACGCACCTATCAGTGATCTTGGCTCACGATAAGACAAAATGAAAAGTCACGAAAAATGGTGTGTGGAATGGGCATTGGAATACGAGAGTTCAGGAATAAAAGCAGTGCCTTTGATGGGTGAGCCAAGGATAATGGATGTATGAAAAACTGACAAATCGCAAGATGGGGCCCTCCTCATACTATTTCGTTCTCGCAGTGCTCATGCTCAACGGANTAGGTAGGCTACGCAAACCGTCGAATCCCCAAGAGTACATGTTTCAACTATTACACCCATATGCTCCATGAAATAGCTATATTCGCTGATACATAAATTAGCAGCAGTGTCGTGGGATTAGTATTATATACTAGTCGAAAATGACCTTCACTACGTGGTGGTCTGTGACCCATTAGGTGGAAGGAAAAAACGGTAAAGGAGTAACCTCTCTAAGCTATACGTTGCTGCAGGTTCGAGAATTACATGTTCAGGATTCTCCCTTCGAGCCGAAAATTGTATAATAGGAGAAACATCGACGCTGATTGGTAGGCTTATTCAGCAACTGTTCATACACTCGTGTTGGGAGGAGGAGGAGGGGAGTTCTTGAATTTGTTTATTGAATGGGGAACGACCGACAGATAGGAGGGCACCCTGGAATTGGCTCAAGTAGCTCCTCCCAAGCGCTCGAAAGTAACAACGTAGGATTGCTCAAGTAAATTCACCCAGTACACATTGCTTATTCAGGAACCTACACTGCTGAAATTGCCCTTTTTAGCACACATATGGCCTTCAAAAAGGTGCACATGCTGTGAAAGTCGTTGGATGGGGAGTTGACGAGAGTGATGGCACGAAGTACTGGATTGCCGCCAATTCATGGGGAAGCGACTGGGGAGAAGACGGTAATATGTGACTTCATTCTGCTTTTGCAAAACAAGTAACCTCTGAATTGCATGACAACAAAATCAAGACCCCTCCTCGGAAGGGTACTGTTGCACTCTCATCTGAGCACCAGTAGTCAGAACACACTGCAGAAACTTTTGCTTTATCGCAAAGGAGTAGCTTCATCACAATTACAATCCAGGGCACCTTTGAGATTTTCAAACCTGGTAGTTGCATGTGATGCAATGTTGTTGGGAAACCAACAGCTAGTGTGGCTTCTCAACGCCTTCTAGAAAAGCCTCTTAAGTGTTAATACCCATTTGCTAGATCGACCAGTCCTAATTCTGCTTATCAGCTGTTTCCGATTGAGAATGATCGCACAATCAATCGTGCAGTTTTTTCCCAAACCATACAACAAACTAAATACAAATCTGTGTCTCAGACCATGTCTTTCAGGTTACTTCCGTATCCTGCGTGGAGTGAACCACTGCGAATTTGAGTCGTACGTCGTCTCAGGAGAATTCAAAGTTTAACAGTGTGATCAATGGCAACAAATTTCAGAATAAAATGCTTCTGATGATTAAGAATGATTCCTTCCGAGTCATCAAGAATATGGCGCAAGACACGTATGTACATGTTGTTCTTAGTGATTTCTTTAACGTTCCCACTCTTTTGAATGAAATACATGGTCATCTGAGCAATGTACGACCTGGCTGCGTTAGTAATCAATTCGCACTTGTCACGTTATGTATGCTTTATCCTGAATAAGTACTCTACCCCTGTATTCAAATACCCCCTGCCATCAGGTACAGGAGTTGGAAACCTCTTCGACCAAAGTTAAGGTTTTGGACGAATCCTTGTAATTTCTTCTGTTCAACAATAAACTGCTGACCTCCCGATATTGTAGTTGTGCTTCGAACCCCTAAAACCGGTTGAGCTTCATCAAGTTGCCTCCTTATTCGAGCGAGGAGCTGGAACACTTCGGGTTCTTTGGTCACGAGAGCCGGTCAAAGGGTTCGGCGGGCCTTTCCCTTGCGGGATCCCGGTCTCGCCTCAAGCCCGTACACCGCGACAAGGTGGAACCCATGTACGGGTGAAACTGAAGCTGAGGTGAGGTTGATATCAACCGGTGGAACAGGCAGGATTCCGGCGGAAGTTCAGCACTTTAGACCACATCATTACTTGCTGTCGAATTATTGAAGCTGATCGTAAATACCATGAACCGCTGATACTAGCATTCATCGACTATCGGAAAGCATTCGATTCAATAGAACGAGAAAAAGTATGGTTGGCTCTTAACGAACAAGGTATCGATCCCCTTTACACGAAAATCTTAAAGGAATGCTACTCAGGATGT